TTTGCGATTGAATTAGGGTTTGCGATTGAACTAGGGTTTGCGATTGAACTAGGGTTTGCGATTGCATTAGGGTTTGAGATTGAATTAGGGTTTGCGATTGAATTAGGGTTTGAGATTGAACTAGGGTTTGCGATTGAATTAGGGTTTGAGATTGCATTAGGGTTTGCGATTGAATTAGGGTTTGAGATCGAACTAGGGTTTGAGATTGAATTAGGGTTTGCGATTGAACTAGGGTTTGAGGTTGCATTAGGGTTTGACAGCCACCTGAGCCTTCTGCACTTCGCAGCAAAGAAGATCTGCCGATTGAAACATCGAACGCATTATCAAAACATCGGCGTCATCGCGTCTTCGTTGAACATCCAGACAAACAGCAGCGACCGATAAAACCGCTAAACGGGCGGCACCCACGTCCAAATACCACTGAAAACACAAACCCTAAACCCTAAACCCTAAACCCTAAACCCTAAACCCTAAACCCTAAACAATAAAACATGAATCATGAACTCTGGGTAGAAAAACAAAAGAGAAACAATCACAGGCAAATATCAATTCATCATACAAAGCGTAAACCCTAAACCCTAAATCGTCAATCACAAACCCTAAACCCTAAACCCTAAACCCTAAATCGTCAATCACAAACCATATACCATAAACCCTAAACACAAACCACAATAAACAAAGTAAAAGCAAAGAACACGCCAGAGAGAAGGCGAAACCACCCGGCAACCCCCCAGCCGCTAGGGTTTAGGGTCTAGGGTTTAGGGTTTAGGGTTTAGGGTTTAGGGTTTACCTTGCCGTTTGCAATGTCGGTGACTCTTCCAATCACCACATCTCCTACATTTGCCTCGTAGCGGCTCTTCAGCGCGCGTACGTACACCAGACGGTTCACCTGCGCGCCCACGAAACCCTAAACCCTAAACCCTAAACCCTAAACCCTAAACCCTAAACCCTAAACCCTTAACCCTAGAGGCCCCGTATAACCTTCAGGGAGAAAAGAAATACGAAATTAGGGTTTGGTGAAAAGGAAAACCCCTTCTTCTACAGCTGTCGGCTGCGCAGTTTAGGGTTTGAGAACCTCGAGGGTTTAGGGTTTAGGGTTTAGGGTTTAGGGTTTACGGTCTGCACGACGCCGCAAACAGAGGCTCTTGGTACTCCATTGTCAACGTATGTATTTAAACCCAAGAGAAAACCCTCTCCTATATGCAGGGGCTCTCCAGGCAGCACAACTTTGCTGCTGCTGCTGCTGCTGCTGCTGCTGCTGCTGCGCTGCTGCTGCTGCTGCTGCTCCTCATCAACCCACATCATGGCTGTTAGCAGCGGAGAGACAAACTGAGCATTGTTTATGTTGAAACCCTCAACACCAAACCCTAAACCCTAGCTCTAAACCCTAAACCCTCGCGACTCTCCGTCACCCAGTGGGGTGGCTCTAGAGGCACCGAGGGTTTAGGGTTTAGGGTTTAGGGTTTTATACGTATTATTTGAATCTCTATATTTGTTTCATTACAATTATTTTTCTTTCTTACTATTTTTATGCTGCTGCCTATTGAGACCCCTCTGCAGGGGCTGCATGCAACGAGATGGGGCTGCTGCAGCAGCAGCAGCAACAGCAGCAGCAGCAGCAACAGCAGCAGCAGCACAGCAGCAACAGCATCAGCAAAGCAGCAGCACAGCAGCAGAAGCAATGTGTTTGCAGGGTGTGTTGTCCAAAAAGCGCAGCAGATCATCGCCGCTCCCCCCCCTCCCACCCCTAAACCCTAAACCCTAAACCCTAAACCCTAAACCCTAAACCCTAAACCCTAATTATTTAAGAATGGGGTTTGGTTGGCACGAGCGGGCGTACTGCCAGCCAATGGCTTCGAGTTTCTCCCCTGAGGGTTGTTTAATGCGAGTTGGTGGTTTAGGGGGCCCTATAGCTGCATCGAGCAGCAGCAGCAGCAGCAGCAGCAGCAGCTGCAGCAGCTGCTGCAGCAGCAACATGATATCGCCTTCTTTGAAGAGCAGCAGCTCTACTCTTTCTGCCCCTTTTCTTGGTCAGTCTCAGGGTTTGTTCGGGTGTATGAACAGCACAACTCTGCCGAACGCGGACATCTACTTCCTGCCGAAACCCTCAAACCTTATCAAGTGGGGTCTGCCTGTCCTCGTCTTCCTTCCTAATCTTACTCTCTTCACCCGCAGCTGGCCTTTCTATGCATCCAAGGCAACATAAATATCACCAGTAGCAGCTGCTGCTGCTGATGCTGCTCATGCTGCTGCAGCACCAGCAGTAGCAGCTGCTGCTGATGATGATGATGATGCTGCTGCAGCACCAGCAGTAGCAGCTGCTGCTGATGCTGCAGCAGCACCATCAGCAGTAGCAGCTGTTGCTGCTGCAGCAGCACCATCAGCAGTAGCAGCTGATGCTGCAGCAGCAGCACCACCAGCAGTAGCAGCTGCTGCAGCAGCAGCCACTGCTGATGCGGCTGGTGGTGGTGGTGATGAAGCAGCGTGTGCTGCTGCTGATGCTGCTTATGCTGAAGCTGTTCAAGCGGCTCTACTCGCTGCATAATAATGGGCTCAAGAAAGCAGCAGAAACAGCAGCAGAAACAGCAGCAGAAACAGAAGCAGCAGACCCTTCCGCTGCTGCAGCGAAGGCAGCTACTTACCGCAGTTGTTGTGGCGCATGCAGCAGCTGGTGCTTGCCTTACAGCAGCACAAGACAGACAGGCAGCAGCAGCAGCTGCTGCTGCTTGCCTTACAGCAGCACAAGACAGACAGGCAGCAGCAGCAGCAGCAGCAGCTCTGCTGCCTCCCCAGCGACCCTTATTCCTTTCCTAAACCCTAAACCCTTATTTCTTGTTATTTGTTTGGGGTGTGTATACCCTCCGCTTCAGCAGCTGCTGCAGCAGCAACGGCAGCAGCAACAGCAGAAGCCACAGCAGCAAGAGCATCAGCTGCAACACCAGCAAGAGCAGCAGCCGCAGCAGCGACTCCTACAGCAGAGACAGCTGCAGCAGAAATACAACTTGCAGCAGCAGTGCATGCTGCAGCAACAGCAGCAGCAATACATGCCGTAGCGGCACCTAAAGACAGCAGCAGCAGCAGCAGCAGCAGCAGATCATGGACATAAACTTGTTTCGAGCTGCATTTTGCTGCTTTGTTGCTGCCTTTGTTGTTCCTGTTGCTGCTGATGCTGCGGCTGCTGCATCTGCTGCATTTGCTGCACTGTGGTTCTGTAATAGCAGCTGCAGCAGCTGCTGCTGCCGCTGCTGCTGCTGAGCTAGCAGTCGTGCATTTTTGTGTATCGGTTTGAAGGCCTGGGGCTTTCCCGCCTATCTTTCGTTTATTTTTTTTGCATGCGCTTTAAGGGTTTAGGAAGAAGGGTTTAGGGTTTAGGGTTTGTGCGTTGTTTTGTTGTTTCCCTCCATTTGCTGAGGTGTACAGACAGCTAAAGTGCAGCTTTATTAATAAATATGTAAACAAATAAATAAACAAATAAATAAACAAATAAACAAACAAATAAATACAAAGTTTAATAACGGAGCTGCCGCAGATAACGGCGGCGGTTTAGAGACAGAGCAATGCACAAAAGCTGCAGCAGCAGCTGCAGGTGCTGCTGCTGCTGCTGCACTGGTTCGGCTGCAGAGTTAAAGTTTTTAATTGATGCTGTGGCGTTTGATGATGTGCTGCGCATTTGCAGCCAGGGGGAGGGGTCAAGGGGTGGGGGAGGGGGCATACAGCTGCTGCTGCTGCTGCTGCTGTTGCTGCTGCTGCTGCTGCTGCTGCTGCTGTCTGTTTGTCTCTGTCTCTCTCTCTCTTTCTTTGTGTGTGTGTGTTTGTGTGCCGTAGAAGCTCTGCCTTGTTGTGTTGGAGTGAGTTCAGTGTAAAAGGCAGCATTCTGTTGCTGCTGCTGCTGCTGCTGCTGCTGCTGCACGAGCTGCAGCACAGGCAGCAGCAGGAGAACATTCAGTCATTGGGGCGCGCTGCGGGTGCTGTTGTTGTTGCTGCTGGTGCTGCAGGCGCAGCAGCAGAATCAGCAGCAGCAGCTGCATTCAGTCATTGGGAGGCGCTGCGGGTGGGGCTGCCGCTGCTGCTGCTGCTGCTGCTGCTCTACTCGCAGTAGTGGTAGCTGTCTGGCTCCGCCGGTGCCTGCTTATGAGCGTATGCTTGCTGCTGCTGTGTTTTGCTGCTGATTCTGCTGCTGTGCGGTGGGGGTGTATTATAGACAATATCTTCTAGACTGGCTGTAGCTGCCTTGCAGCAAGAGAGAGCTCCTCCGACAGCAGAACAGACAACACAAAGAACACAAGAGACACACCATCCCAGCGCTTCTGCTGCTAGCTGCAGCACCGTCTTTCGCCGCCGCTGCTGCTGCTGCTGCTGCTGCTGGAAGCTGTAGGGTTGCTGCTGGCTAGGCACGTAATAGTAATAATGCACAGGCTCCGCATACACCGGCGGAGGGGGTTCCCCGTGGCCATATGGCCAGTTGTACATTTTCAGGAGGAGGAAATTGGGGGAAAGGCTTGAAAAAGATGCAGATACACCTGAGGTAGCTGCCGATACACCTCGGGAGCTGCGTAGACACTGCACTTAGCACCACGATCTGATCCAGTGAAGACGTCCTTCAGGGAATGCTGGAAATCTGAGGGCCCTGATGCAGCACTTGAGAGCGTTTAGGGTTTAGGGTTTAGGGCTCATTGAGTATACCGCTAGGCAGCAAGACGACGCAGCATCGATAGCTGCACGGCCGTGCGAGACGGCTGATGGGCGGCGCAGTGGCTGCAACTAAAATAAAAGACAGAAAAAAAACAAGAATGATAAAGAATAAAAGAGAGAAGAAGAAGAAAGACTGCGATCAGCGAGCCCTCCACCGTCACCAATAATACCGAAACGGAACCGCTGTAGCTAGGCGCCGGCAGCACCACGAGAAGGGTGAAGGCGAGAGGAAATGAAAGAGGAAATTGACGATTAAATGCTTTTTCAACATCCTCTTTGAATTTAAAATCCAAAACCCATTCTTTTGACCCTTTAAAATATATATTTAATTGCAGATCGCGGGCACAAACTCCGCCGAGCTGCAGTCTGCTCCCCGGTGTACGTACACCCGAACAACTTTGGAAAAAAATGTGAAAACCAGAAAAAAAGAAATAAATTCAAAAATCGGAGAATCAATTCAACAAATTAAATACAAAAGGCTTACATTATTTGAACTACACTTTCCAATAAAGACTCTCAAGTTTCAACTTCTAGGGTTTAGGGTTTAGGGTTTAGGGTTTAGGGCTGCGAGTGGAGATCGCCATGTTGGATGCGTGGGGGCCCCCCCTAAATTTCGGATGGCATTAAAGTGGGAGGCTTTGCGGTTGCATTTTGAAGGTTGAGGGTTTAGGGTTTAGGGTTTAGGGTTTATTCATCTGAGTGCTGGGGTTTTACCGCCTCCCTCTTTTGGTGCTGGGCGTTCTGCTACTTCTGTGTGCTGCGGCCTTCTCTTTGTCTCATTCTGTCTTTTCAAGGGTGTGTTTGAGGTGTATGTACACCTGAAGCACCCCAACGTGCTGCAGGCATGCCCAAACCCTAAACCCTAAACCCTAGTATTTCAAGGGCGTCTCGCCGGGGCCTGCTGCTGCTTCTCTTGCCGCTTCTTTCTTCTCTCTGCTTCGCACGCAGATGGTTTGCTGTACAGGAGTCTGGTCTAGGGTGCAGCAGCAGCGCCAGCTGCTGCTGCTGCCCTTGCTGCTGCTGTTGCTGCTGCTCTTACTGCAGCGCGGGGACTGTGCAGAAGACACGGTGAGGGCTTTATTATCTTCCTGATTATATGTTGTCTATCAAACCCTAAACCCTTATTAGGGGTTTTTCTCTAAACTGCTTCTTTGCATCAGACCTGAAAGCAGCAGGGTTTGGGCGCCTTGCTTCAGGGTTTAGGGTTTAGGGTTTAGGGTTTAGAGTTTGGCTTGCCGTCTGTGCAGGGTGTTGTCATCCGCCCCTCTGTACATGCGGGAACGTGGTTTCCTGGCACAGGTGTTTAAACCCTAAACCCTAAACCCTAAACCCTAATTTTATCTGGGCAGGCACCAGGATGCGCTGCGACCCCTTCTTTGGCGCCGTAGTCTGCAGCAGATTATTCAGGGTTTAGGGTTTAGGGTTTAGGGTTTGCGGGTTTGATGTGCAGCTGCTGACCTCGCCGCTGCTGTGGATGCAATGTTAGAAGCCGCTTCGGCCGTACAAGGGACAGTGAAGACAATCGTAGTGCCGTACACCCCAAACCCTAAACCCCAAACCCTAAACCCCAAACCCTAAACCCTAAACCCTCGTTTGCAGTTCGTACAGACCCCTGCTGAGACTCGCAGCTCCGTGATGCAGGCCGATCCCCTGCATCTGACTCGTTGGATGCTTCGGTTTAGGGTTTAGGGCTTAGGGTTTAGGGTTTGGGGTTTGTGTGCAGGCACGCGGCATTTCAGTATTCGGGGTCAACTGCAGCTGCAGCTTACAAGCAAATGTTGTCTCTCCAGCGCACAGTGTATGTTATATTTCCCCTGCTCCTGGAGTCTAGGGTCTAGGGTTTAGGGTTTAGGGTCTAGGGTTTAGGGTTTAGGGTTTAGGGTTTGGGGTTTTCAGGAAGCGCGTTGTGCTGCTTGCTACGTGGCATTCGGATGGCTCTGGGGTTTTTCTGCCTCCTGAAGAATTTACTGCCTTTGGGTCGCCTATTGGTTCATTGCCTCTTGACAGAGAGGGTAAACCCTAAACCCTAAACCCTAAACCCTAAACCCTTACCAACCGTCCAAACCCCAGCCCCCACCTACGCACATCGGGCTCTGCACATACACACACAAGCAGACTCCTTTCCCTCTTCCTGCCGCAGAACCCTGGAGCGTACCATTTAGGGTTTAGGGTTTAGGGTTTAGGGTTTAGGGTTTGGGGTTTGTGCAGCTCTAGGCGCGCTGTTCTCTACGGGTCTTTATGACACCGCTCCCGCGGAGCTGGAGGTTCAAGAGCATTCAATCTCGGTGCAGATTCCCTTCCTAAAGCGAGTGCTGCCAGAGTGAGTCCTTTAAGGGTTTAGGGTTTAGGGTTTAGGGTTTAGGGTTTAGGGTTGTTGACCTGGGGCCCTGGTGATGGCACAAGCAAATCTGCAGAGCAGTTCTGCATACTCCAGCTCCAGTCTTTAGGGTTTAGGGTTTGTGGTTTAGGGTTTAGGGTTTAGGGTTTAGGGTTTAGGGTTTGGGGTTTGCAGAGGAGCTCTCTTGCTACCCATTTACGTGGGGACTATAGCAGACGAGGATCTGCCGATGTATGGTGAGGCGAACAAACCCTAAACCCTAAACCCTAAACCCTACAGAACAAATCGGGTGCAGAGGCTACCCGCTGACAGCACCGCAGAGCTGGATCATAGATGGGTTGCTGGCTAGCTAGCTGGCTAGCTAGACAGCTAGCTAGCTAGCTGTGCGCAAGGCAGCTAGCTAGAGCTCTACGACGCATGAATGCCTGCATGAGTGTGGCGCCAAGGGCTCAAGACTGAGGGTTTAGGGTTTAGGGTTTAGGGTTTACACCATGTCTGTGTCCCAGCGGAGACGCTTGCTCCTTTCTTCATGGATCCCGTGAGTCTCCCTTCTTCGCTAGCTAGCTACTCATCTAGCTAGCCAGCCACATAGCTAGCTATCTATCTGTCTGTCTATCTAGCTAGCTAGCTGGCTGGGATGCGACGCGCCTGACTGAGTAGTCTGATCACATCGGTAGCTAGCTAGACCTCTGTGTATATGTTTGTTGGCTGGCTGAGTATCTAGCTGGCTAGCTAGCTAGCCAGCTAGCTAGCTAGGTAAATAGCTAGCCAGGTGATGGGTGTGCAATGACTCAGGACACCATCTTCGTCATATCTACTGACTGGTCTCACTGGGGCCCAAAGTAAACCCTAATTGCAAACCCTATCTCTAAACCCTAAACCCTAAACCCTAGCCTAGCTGCAAACCCTCGTTCTAAACCCTTTCCTAAACCACCGCTTTCGCCGTCTTCTATCCGCTACGCCTGGGGCTGTTTTGAAGATTTGAGGGTTTAGGGTTTTAGCTGAAAGGTTGGGGGTCGGCCTTCGTTGCGTGAACTGTAAACCCTAAACCCTAAACCCTAATTTTTGTCATGTGCAGCTTTAACTACACATACACCCCCAGCGGCGTTGACGCAAGCCTGCCGCTTTTCAAGAAGATAGAGGTGCGTCTACACCCTAAACTATTTTATTTTCTCTTAAAGCTGCTTGTCCTGTTCGCTTCGCTGGGGTCTAGGGTTTAGGGTTCCCGGGGGTTTAGGGTTTAGGGTTTAGGGTTTGGCTGACGCGTCGGCTCAGGCACTGGATCGCGAGGCAGTTGACTGCGTTTTGAACTTGAACGCGCCTTGTAAGTGCTAAACCCTAAACCCTAAACCCTAAAGGCAAAGCAGTTGGGTGGATGCACATATTGCTTCGGGTCTCAGCGAAGCCCTAATAAGCGCTTTTTTGAAGAGACAACATTATGAAAGGGTTTAGGGATTACATTAGGGTTTGGGGTTTGCAGTCTAGGGTTTGGTGTCTGATAATAGGGTTCAGGGAGGCGGAGCAGAGGGTCCTTTAAAAGAACCAAGACAAGAAGAGAAACAAAAGACAATAAACAACATGAAAACTATCTTTTTCGGGTGTATACGCAGGTCTAGAGGAACACATCCTGAAGACGGGCAATTTGATTTGTGGCTACAGCGCGCTGATATTATTTCTGCGTGTATGTCTTTATTATTTTTATATTGTTTGTTGTTTTAATTGCGAGTTGAACAAGGGTAGAGAAAGGCATTTATCTTTGTCTAAGCAACGATTAGCTGTATATACACCTCATCAACCCCTGGGGTGTATGCGCAGGTCATAGAAAGAGTAGCCAGCGCTTCTGGGGCGCAACCCGAAGAAATTTTGTCTCCTTCTCTCCTTAAATACGCTCAAGTATGTCTTTTTAACGTTCTTTCTACTTACTGATGCCTCTTCTTTAATCTCGGGTGTATAGGCAGCTCAGGTGTATAGGCAGCTCAGGTGTACAGGGAGTTCATTGTGGGCATGTCGTCTTTTTTTGTCTTTTTGCGTTTGTTTTCTCTCTATAAAGTTGATTTGCACGTTTGTTTTATTTGTATTTCGGATTTTCTGTCTTTATTGCAGCAATTTACCCTTCTTTTTCTTCGCTTTCCTTTATCATGATTTCTTCTTGCATGTTTGCTACCCTTGGCGCGTTTGTATGAAAAAAATTATTTTTATTGTTGTTTTTTGCTATTTTGGGGTTTTATTTATGTTTTGTCTGTTTTATATTTATTGTTTTTGTGTATTTTTATCTGTTCTTTGCTGCCTTGTTATGGGCGTTGTTTGTTCGTTTTGTGCTGCAGTCCGATGCAATTACGAGTGCACAGGAAACTTCTGTCGGTTATGCTGCTATTGCTTTTCTAAGGGCCTCTTAAAAATAAAAATAAAATAATAAATTAAATAGAGAGAAGATGAGCATGAGCAAGAAGAGAAGACAGCAGCGATATACAGCTGTATTTATTTCTCTGTTTTTCTTACCCTGTTAATAATTAATAATATTGATGTTATTGTTGCAGTTCTTCTTCTTGTCCTTCTCTCTTGCTTTGCATGCAGCAGTATGTATCTCTCTTGTATGCAGGTGCTGCTGCATTTTTTGTTTGTTTTTAAACAGCTTTCTTTCGGTGTATATTTTTGTGTCTACATGTCTGCACATTTTTATCCCCGGCTTTCTTCTTTGAGCCTTCAGCTCTGCATTATAATATTATCTGCTGTCTGTACACCTCAACTATCTCAGTTCACTTTTATATTTTCTTTTTTTTCTTTTCTTTTTATCCTTTACTCTCCCGCCTCTTCGTCATAGCCAGCTTAACCTGTATCTTTTTAAGAGTATAAATATAAATATATTAATCTATACATCTATACATCTATGTATATATATATATATATAAATGCTAATATAATTGTTAATAATAAATAATAATATAAATACTAATATAAATAATAATAATGTAAATGCTAGTATGAATGTATATATGTATTCATATATATATAATTATATATGTACGGATACATATATTTGTATGCGAAGTATCTGCATACAAGACAAGTATATGCTAATGCATATGCTTGCATATACAGACAAATAAATATTGCTGTATGTATATATGTATATATATGTATATATATATAAAATGTATATATATAATATATATATACATTTATATATATGTATATATCGAC